TTATATAGGTTGTTGTAGGTTTTTTCGGGCTATATGGCCATGGTCTTGAGGCATTCTCTCCTGACGTTTCGCCTGCATCTATGGCAAGCATCCTCAGAGGTAGTATTATTATATAATTAGGATCCCCGGTGGCTCTGCGGGTTAAACCGCTGAGCTGCTGAGCTTGCTGACCGAAAGGTCGGAGGTTCGAATCACGGGAGCGGGGTGAGCTCCCGCTGTTAGCCCCAGCTTCTGCCAACCTAACAGTTCGAAAACATGCAAATGTGAGTCGATCAATAAGGTACTGCTTCTGCGGGAAGGTAAAGCGGTTCTTCTTCGGCTTAGAAATGGAGATAAGAACCTCCACCCCAGAGTCGGAAGACTAGATTTAATGTCAAGGGGAAAACTTCACCTTTACTTTTATTATATAATTATATAATAGAAATATAATAACAATAATGGCATAATAAATCATTATTATTGTATTTATTTATCTATATAAATAAAAATGTAATGTTCGTTTGTGGGATTAACAGAACTCAAAAACCACTGGACGAATTGACACCAAATTTGGACATAAGACACCTAACAACCCAATGTATGTCCTTCACTAAAAAATGATTTTGTCATTTGGGAGTTGTAGTTGCTGGGATTTATAGTTCACCTACAATCAAAGAGCATTCTGAACCCCACCAACGATGGAATTGAACCAAACTTGGCACACAGTTCTCCCATGACCAACAGAAAATACTGGAAGGGTTTGGTGGGCAGTGTCCTTTGGTTTTGGAGTTGTAGTTCACCTACATCCAGAGATCACCAATGATGGATCTGAACCAAACTCTACACGAATACTCAGTATGCCCAAATGTGAACACAGATGGAGTTTGGGGAAAATAGAATCTTGACATTTGGGAGTTGTAGTTGCTGGGATTTATAGTTCACCTACAATCACAGAGCATTTTAAACCCCCAGATAGAATTGGGCCAAACCTCCCACACAGAACCCCCATGACCACCAGAGTGGGCCACAGCAACGCATGGCAGGAGACGGCTAGTTATATAATAATAATATAAAATATCACAATAATTAATAACAATAATGGCATAATAAATCATTATTTTTGTATTTATCATTACATAATAATATAATAGAAATAACAATAATGGCATAATACATCACTATTATTGTATTTATTATTCTGTAATAATATAATAACAATAATGGCATAAGAAATCATTGTTATTGTATTTATTGTTATATAATAATATAATAAAAATATAATAGTAATTAACAACAATTAGGGCATAATAAATAATTATTGTTGTATTTATTATATAATAATATAAAATAATAAGAAGAAATAATGGCATAAGAAATCATTATTATTGTATTTATTATTCTATAATAATATAATAAAAATAACAATAATGGCATAAGAAATCGTTATGATTGAATTTATTATTATATGATAAAATAATAATTAATAACAATAATAGCACAATAAATAATTATTATTGTATTTATTATATATAGTAATATTATTATAATAATTAATAACAGTAATGGCATAATAAAATCATTATTGTTGTATTTATTATTCTATAATATAATAAAAATAACAATAACAGCATAAGAAACCATTATCATTGAATTTATTATTATATAATATAATAATTAATAACAATAATAACACAATAAATCATTATTATTGTATTTATTATATATAGTAATATTATAATAATTAATAACAGTAATGGCATAATAAATCATTATTATTGTATTTATTATTTTATCATAATAATTAATAATTGAATAATAAATCCTTATTATTATATTTATTATTTTATAGTAATATAAAATAATAAAAATAATAAATAATTGAATAATAAATCCTTATTATTGTATTTATTATTTTATAATAATATAAAATAATAATAATAAATAATTGAACAATAAATCAACAATAATGGCATAAGAAATCATGAATAATAACAGTATTCTTAATAATCGATAGAAATTGTCATCCATACTAATAATACTGGTATAAAATTAAATTAGCGTCATGATAAATAATAGCAATAATGTAATTACAAATTAATAATTGGGGCACATTTTAATTGGTTTGGTTGGTTATATGTCTCTTCTTATGTATGTTGTGATAATAATAAGCTTAATCATCTAATCAAGGCCTGGGCAAACTTGGGCCCTCCCTCCAGGTGTTTTGGACTTCAACTCCCACCATTCCTAACAGCCTACCGGCTGTTAGGAATGGTGGGAGTTGGAGTCCAAAACACCTGGAGGGCCCAAGTTTGCCCAGGCTTGATGTAGATGCTGTTGTGATCCCTGGAGAGAGGAATGGAGAGGGATGGCTTGCTTACCCGGCGCCTGGCTTTTCCTGAAGAAGGCTGCTTTGAGAGCCGGGCGCGCTGCTTCTTCTTCCTCCTCTTCCTCTTCTTCTTCTTCCTCTTCCTCTTCCCCTTCCTCCCGGAGATCCACGCCCTTCCGCTTGGCCCCACGGCTGCCCACCAGCAAGGCGTCCACCGAGAAGGCGTGGGCCCGCGAGCTCAGCGCCATGGGGACCCCAACCCCACGGAAGGAAAGAAAGAAAGGCAAGAAGGAGCGCGCCTCCTCTTCTCTCTTCTCCTTTCTTTCTTCTCTTCTTCAGCCGCCTTCCGAGGAAACCCAGCAAAGGGCCCGAAATCAGCCAGAGGCGCTCCCTTTGCACCCCATCTCGAAAGCACCGCAAAGGAGACAGCGAGGAAAGAAGAGAAGAAGGGAAGAGAAGAGCAGGTCCTTCCTCCTCTACCCACTCTTTCCTTCTTTCCTTCTCTCCTTCCTTCCTTCCCTCTCCCTCTTCCCTCCCTTCCCCTTTCTTTCTTTTCTTCACTCTTTTTTCCTCCCTCTCTGTCTTCCTTCTTTCCTTTCCCTTTCCCTCTTTCTCCCTCCTTCTTTTCCTCTCTTTCTTCCTTCCTTCTTCCTTCCTTCTTTCCTCACTTCTTCTTTCTTTCTTTCTTTCCTCCTCCCTCCTTCTCTCCTTCCCTTTCTTTCTTCTCCTCTTTTTTTTTCTTTCTTCTCTCTTCTCTCCCTTCCCTCCCTCCTTCCCTTTTTCTTCCTTCCCTCCCTTTCTTTCTTCTTCCTATCTACTCCTTCCTTATTCCTTCCTTTCCTTCCTTCTCACCCTCCTTCTTTTTCTTTCTTTCCTCCCTTTCCTTCTCCCCTCCTTCCCTTCTTTCTTCTCCCTTTCTTCCTTCTTTCTTTCTTTTCTTCCTTCTCTCTTTCTCTCTCCCTCCCTCCCTCCCTCCCTCCCTCCCTCCCTCCCTTTCTTTCTTTCTTTCCTATCTACTCCTTCCTTCCTTCCCTCTCCCTCTTCCCTCCCTTCCCCGTCTTTCTTTCTTTTCCTTTACTCTTTTTTCCTCCCTCTCTGTCTTCCTTCTTTCCTTTCCTTCTTTCCTCCTTTTCTTTCTTTTCTTCTTTCCTTCCCTCTTGCTTTTCCTTCCTTCCTTCCTTCTTTCTTTCTTTCTTTCTTTCTTTTCTTTCTTTCTTCTTCCTCTCTCCTTCCTTCCTTCTCCTTCTTTCCTTCCTTCCTTCTCCCTCCTCCCTCCTTCCTTTTCTTTCTTCTTTCTCCTTTTCCTTCCTCCTTCCCTCCCTTTATTCTTTTTTTCTTTGCTTCTTCTCCCTTATCTTCTCTCTCTCCCTTTCCCTCCCTATCTTTTTTTCTTCCCTACTTACTCCTTCCTTTTTTCCTTCTTTTATTCCTTCCCTTCTTCTCCCCCCTCCCGTTCCTTTTCTTCCTTCCTTCCTTCCTTCCTTCTTCCCTTCTCTCTTCTTTTCTTTGTCCTTCCTTCCTCTCTTCCTTTTTCTTCCTTTCCAGAAGAGAGTTCAATCCCAGGGAGAAGCCGGCTGGAGGAGGGAGCGCCAATGTTTTGTTTTGGGAAGCGGTTGGGAGCGCTTAAAAGAAAAGGAAGGAGAGAGAGAGAGAGAGAGGAAGGGGGGAGCAGAGGGGAGGAGGCAAAGGAAGAGGGGGAGGAGGCTGGCCCCTCCCCTCCTGAGAGGAACCCCAGAGGCTCCCTTCTTCCTCCTTCCTTGGAAGGAAACTCCAGATGTTGGCAAAGCGGGAGCCGGAATTGGATAGAAGGAAGGGAGGATGATGCCCTATGGCTTTCTCTCCCCCCCCCCCTCCATCAGCACCACAACCCTGCGAGGTAGGCCTGGCCCAGGAAGGAAGAACCTAGGAGGGAAAGCCCTGCTCTCCTTTAAGTCCCACTCTCTCAGCCTCAGAGCCTCCAAAGCTCTAGGTGCTCTTACTGCCTATTACAGGGAAAACCATCTGATTCCTAATCCATCTAAGCACAGACATGTGCCTTTCACCTTAAGAACAGACAAGCATCCCGAGCTCTGAGGATTACCTGGGAAGGAATCCCACTGGAGCATTGCAGCGCACCCAAATACCTGGGAGTCACTCTGGACCGTGCTCTGACCTACAAGAAGCACTGCCTGAACACCAAGCAAAAAGTGGGTGCTAGAAACAATATCATACAAAGCTGACTGGCACAACCTGGGGATCACAACCAGACACAGTGAAGACATCTGCCCTTGCACTGAGTATGCATGCCCGGTGTGGAACACATCTCACCACGCTAAAACAGTGGATGTGGCTCTTAATGAGACATGCCGCATTATCACGGGTGTCTGCGCCCTACACCACTGGAGAAATTACACTGCTTAGCCGGTATTGCACCACCTGACATCCGCCGGGAAGTAGCAGCCAATAGTGAAAGGACCAAGGCAGAGACATCTCCAGCTCATCCCTTTTGGGTATCAGCCAGCACGTCAACGACTTAAATAAAAAATAGTTTTCTAAGATCTACAGAGACACTCGCTGGAACACCTCAGCAAGCGAGAGTCCAAAAGTGGCAGGCTCAAACCCAGAACCTCAACCAATGGCTGATACCAAACAGAGCCAACCTCAAGAAAAGGGGCTACAAAGTGGAATCCACGACATGCGAGTGTGGAGAAGAGCAAACCACTGACCACCTGCTGCAATGCAACCTGAGCCCTGCCACATGCACCATGGAGGACCTTCTTGTGGCAACACCAGAAGCACTTCCAAGTGGCCAGATACTGGTCAAAGGACATTTAATCAACTGCCAAGCTTGCAAACTCTGTGTCAGGGTTGCCATCACTTCCAAGATGCACAATCACAACAACAACAAATGAACTGCACAAAAGGAGGCTCTTTCTTTAATCCATTCGGTTTTTAACATTCCGAAATTACAACCCTTGAACCTTTCCACTCGCCCCCCCCCCCGCCATTTCCACACGAGACATTTGCGTGTCGGTGTAGACACCCGGTATTAAAACAGTATCAAACATTTCGTCACCATAAATCCGCATTTGCAAAGGTTGCTGAACAGATTGTTGGTTACTGTGAAATGCAAATGGAAGCGTCTTCTACAGAATCCAACCAATTCGTATATATATAGATATAGATATAGACGTATATGTATTTTCGGTGTGTTCTGTACATGTATATATGCATATGTATATATATAAGTATGTGAGTATGTGTATATATCTATGTGCACATCTGTATATGTATATGCATATAAATGTATATGAATATATGTGTATGTATATATGTATGTGGATATATATATGCGTGTATATGTATGTGTGTATATATGTATGTGTTTATGTTTGTGAATAGATATCAATATCTATATGTGTATATATGTGTCTGTATATGTGCATATATATAAATGTATGTGAATTTATATCTGTGTGTATATGTATGTGCATATCTGTATGTGTGTATATATGTATGTGAATATATATATGCACGTGTTTATATAAGTATTTTTATTTTATACATATATCTATAGATCTATATGTGTATATATGTCTGTATATGTGTATATATATGTATGTCCATTTATATCTGTGTATATGTATGTGCATATCTGTATGTGTGTATATATATCTATACATGAATATATGTGTACATATGTATATATGTATGTGAATATATCTATATGCGTGTATATATGTGTGTGTATATATGCACGTGTTTATATAAGTATTTTTATTTTTGTACATATATCTATTTTATTTGTGTATATATATATATATGTATGTGAATTTATATCTGTGTATATATGTATGTGCGTATCTGTATGTGTGTATATATATGCGTGTATTCTTTATGTGTATATATCTATATGTGTGTATAATGTGTGTATATAAGTATGTATATATATATATGTGTGTGTGTATATAGGTTTGTGTGTGTGTATATATATATCTGTATGATATATACATATATATATCTGTATGTGTGTATATAGGTTTGTGTATATATGTATGCGTGTATTTGTATGTGTATATATCTATATGTGTGTATAATGTGTGTAGTGTATATAAGTATATATATATATGTGTGTGTGTGTATATAGGTTTGTGTGTGTGTATATATATATATCTGTATGATATATACATATATATATCTGTATGTGTGTATATAGGTTTGTGTATATATGTATGTGTGTATTTGTATGTGTATATCTATATATCTATATGTGTGTATATCTCTATGTGTGCGTATATACGTAGAAAGTGTGTATATATGTGTGTGTGTGTATATATATATGTATATATGTGTGTATAAATGTATGTGTGTATATATGTATGGGTATATAGCTATATGTGTGTATATATCTATCTGAGCGTGTATATATGTATGTATGTTTGTGTATACGCATATATGTGTATCTATACCTGTATAAGAAAACGTATATCTGTCTTGTCGAAGGCTTTCATGGCCGGAATCACTGGGTTGTTGTAGGTTTTTTCGGGCTATATGGCCATGTTCTAGAAGCATTCTCTCCTGACGTTTCGCCTGCATCTAAGATGCAGGCGAAACGTCAGGAGAGAATGCTTCTAGAACATGGCCATATAGCCCGAAAAAACCTACAACCCAAATGTATATCTGTTTGTGTACATTTGTATGTTTGTATATGCGCATATCCACATAATGACCATGATATACAGTATATAGTCATTAGCCGCATGTTTCTGGGACCTCAGAAATGCTGTTAGGTTTACTTTGGAATCCACTCGACCATCCAGGAGAGCCATGGCGGGGTCACTCTTCGTCCTGGGACCGATTCCCGCCGGGCTTCTCTCAAACCGGTTCCTTTTGCGAATCTCCTTGAGCTCCTCTGGAGTCAGTACAGATTCGGACCGAAACTCGAGAATAGTTTCGTGTCGGATCGACAGAGCAAGAAAGGCTTCTGATCACAATCACAAACCTCTTGCCATGGTTATTATAGACTAGTGGCGGTGTTATGATTTCACCCGGAAATTACTATTATTCTTATTCGCCTCGGTTGTGTCTTTTTCATTCCTCTTCTTCGACCCGATGCAGGAATGGGTTCTTCGAAATGGATGGGATCCGAAACTTTAGGGGTTTCGGAAAGGGTTTCTTCCACATTCTCCATCACGAGAGGCTAGAGGCACCCAATGGATGTGTGCTTCCTCCTAGAGACCGTATGCTTTGTTACAAAAACACAGAGATAGAGATTACTTACTTATCTCTCTTTCACCCTCCATTCGTGCCTCTTCGAATTCTGCAGCACTGCTGGTCACAGCTGACCTCCAACTGGAGCACTCAAAGGCCAGGGCTTCCCAGTTCTCGGTGTCTACGCCACAGTTTTTAAGGTTGGCTTTGAGCCCATCTTTAAATCTCTTTTATTGCCCAAAAACATTCCCTTTTCTGTATTGTCAAAGGCTTTCATGGCTGGAATCACTAGGTTCTTGTGGTTTTTTTTGGGCTATAGGGCCATGTTCTAGAGGCATTTCTCCTGA